CTCACTTTTTAAATGTAGACTGAGAAACTGTGGCAAGTTCTCAGGGAAGCATGAAATAGATGACCTTGCCAGGAATCTGCTGTTTTGTTTTTTTGTTTAATCGGTTTAATCAACTGAGATGCATTCTGTTATCAGTGCAATCAGTTTAGTTTTTCTCAGGTTTAGATGATTATTTTACCAGAATTTCTAAGGTTTTTTTCTCCAGTTATCTGATATCCCCAAATCTACAGTATGTACAAGCTATTTAACCTATGTAAAAAGTCAATTGTGATAATTTTTTAATGGGACAGAGTAAGAGTTGAGGTTAGTCATCGAGTTAAAGTTCATGACAAATTGTTTTGTATACACACAAACAAGCCTAAAGCCTTTCTGATCCATCAAGCACACAGACAACATGTCTCCACATCTGTGCCAGGTGACATAGAATATTGCATTCTGAAAAGAAGCTGTATTGTTCCTCATGGAGGATTTAAAACGGCAATATCAGGTTGTACTCCATTCAAAGAACCTCTGTTTTACAGAAAAGTGAAAGAGAGGATTGTTGCCTTTAAGAATACAGTTTGCATCATATGCTCAAATACCGAAGCAGTGAAGAGGGGAAAAACTAAGTCATAAATGGGGACGTGTGGTAGTATTGAATTGCATCAACATTCCTAAACATAAACCTCAGTGAATAAGGTGCTGTGGTAATCTTTAAGCTGTCATGTCATGGTTTAAATCTCTTTTTTCACTTTAATTGTCGTCGAGGTGTTGACGTTGAGCTGAATGACTTGACAGATGAAGTCGTATTCCTGATGACAACAGCCAAACGTTTTTTTTTCATCACACACTTGGTGCTGTAAATTTCTGGAAAGTGCGACATGGATTGATGGCCTTCTGACAGAGCTTTGCGAATCCTTTAATCCGTTTTTGAAGCTCAATAGGGGGTACTTTGTGTACTTTATTCCAGCACCTCTTCCCATCTGGTTTTTGTAAAAGACACTCAGAGCCATGAGATGTTTGAGAGGCTTTAGACAAGCTGAAGACACTCACTGTTCATTTTCTATTTACGTAACACAGCAAGTGCTATGTTTCTTCTCTTTTTATTTACGTCTTTTTTGTGTGTTTTTTTTTTTTTTTTTAGCTGAAAGTAGTTGAATTTCCTGTGAAATAAAAATTTACTTCTGCAAATTGGTGGAATCTCAGCAGTTTTATGACCATGTGGCGTGGACAGCAGTCTGCTACTGTGACTGTTTCAGTTACAGGTGAGTAATAGATGTCCATACCAAATACAGTTATTCTCAGATGCTTGATAATCAAATAATATAAAGAAAAACATTATCAAAAATAATGGTTAGAAAAATAGGGTCAGTAAAAGATCAATGGTATGATTAAGAGAGTAAACATTACTGAGCACATTTAGAACAATTTAATTAAATATAATATAGAATTGAAGTCCTGAATGCAATGGCTTTATGACAATTGCACTAAGGACATATAAGCACAGATGTTATATTCTCACCTGCAACTTTATTTTTCCTACTAAAAATGGGTTTGTTAAACATTTTCCCTTTTATATTATGGCTTCCAACAAAAGAAAAAGAATCTCAATCTTCTCATTTTCTCCATCAAGGAATCTCCTCTTCAGTCACAAACTTTTGAGTGTCACATATTCACAGCTAAAAGCAGACAAACCCTAAATTGTGATGTGTTGAATTTTTTTCATGCAGTTATTGTCTCAGTTGTGTACTCAAAAGCATTTAGCAGTGGATGTTGGCTGCTGTAATGTATAGCTATGACCCACTTCCTGTAGGACCCCAGTTAATAAGTCACAAAATTTTCAACATGTTTTGAAAGGGGATTTGTTTAACTAACTTGATTCAGTTGTTTGTCACCACCTTGTGGAAAATGTGAGCAATGAGTGCACAATCTAATTAATGAGAGAAATGTAGTTTCTTACAAATGACACATTTTGGGTTACAAAAAACAACCTCTTGGTATCGTTCTTTAGCTCTGTGTGAAAATGTAAAAAATGATGACTGATTTAGTGCTTTAGATCAAAATAGGTCACAGACACTTTTTTTTCATGTAAGACATGGGTAAATTTATGTCCATGCATATCATACCTTTTTACCTTTTTGGCAATATTTCTTAATATTATCGGGGAACAATTAGATTTTTATAATTTACCGGATTTCTTTTCAGCCCTTTGTGGTTGAGTGTCATTGACGTTAACTGCTTCTATTTGTGTCCAGGTCAAATGGCACCAGTTCAGCCAAACCCTGCGTTGTGTCAGTGGGTTAACTGTATCCCTCACCCTGAACCCACGCACGTAAATCACACCTGCCAATCAGGAGCACATTAATCAACAAGTAGTTGAGCGGCATGGGGCAGAGAAAGTGCTCAGCCCCACATCCATCCATCACTCTGGTTGTAAAGTGTCATATAACATCAGACGTTGAAATGTTTTTTTTAACCACACGGAATGGCGAGTTAAAGTCTGTCCACGCTGATTGGAGACGGACGCTTCTGTGTCTTTTTCTCGATTTCTGCCAGTCTCTCTGTCTCAGTGAGGTAAAGTGGAGAATTGGCTTCAGGTGATTTGGAGGAGATCTTATCTTCTGTTAACAGAGGCATGACACCATAATGGAGCAGCAGGGGTGCAATTACCTTTTAGCCCTCCTCCTCCTCCTTCTTCTTCTCTTCCTCCCTGTGCCTCCACCTCGGCCTTGCCTGACAAATTAAGATTAATGGCGGAGATAAGTCAGGAGCCTGCCAACGTTCCAGTATCAGCTGGTCAGAGGGAGCATGAGAACATATTCTACGTGCAGCAACATATAAACACACAGACCAAAAACCAACTAAGTACATTTTCAATTCAAACTTTTCTATCCAAATCTGGAATTTAAAAGAAAATATTTACATTTGAAATGCAGTCGAACATGATCGCTTTGAGTCTTCTGTATTTTAAAACTATATTTTTGGATATATTGCCTGCCCAACATGTGGACTACATCCTTAAATTACACACAAACACAAAATATCTAAAAACAGTTCAAATTTCAAAACCCTCATTAAGAAAATGTCATAAAAAAGGGGGTAGTAACTAAACTATGTGGTGACTTTGGGATGCTTTTATAACTTTAAAATGAAACCAAGTATTACTACAGTCAACAATAAATGAATACTCACAAATACATTTATATACATTGTAGTTTAGAATGATTAAAAAATAATATACAACTGTATAGGTTTGTAGGTGTGATGATCAGGTGTTGAAACACCTGAGTCACAGACCTCACTGACTTCAACCATAGGAGGGGCAATGCTATAAATATGGCATAAATGACATAAGACACACACCCTTAGGAACACACACCCATCTGCTACAACATGGAGGGGAAAGGTTGCAACCCATTAGATAAATAAATTATTTACTGTCTTCGTTATTTTGTAAATTATTTACTGTCTTCGTTATTTTAGTTTCACACAGGTATTTTTTGGACAGTGTTCATTATCAGTTTTGCTTATGTATATCATTTTATACACAACCTGCTGGTTTTTTCTGCTTTCATAGGTCTCCTAAAGTTGTACAGTAAGCTTTACCTGTTTCATGTCTGCACCCGCCCATATTTCTGGACTGGGAAGGATAATGTTTCACAGGTACAAAAGTTTCCACTTTAATCCTATCACACACAAAGAGTGGTCAAGGCTTAGGGATCCTGCATAAATCCCAGGTTTATCCATCCCAGTGGAAGAGATTACTGCCCTCTCTGATTTTATTCAGTGAATGTTTGAACAGCAAATGGAAAGAGAGAGCAATTCGACTATTCAACACCTCAGTGCACTCAGGAGAAGATTGGTGATTGGGGATAGTTATAGCTCTCCTCTGAAAGCTGCTTTAATAGTTCTTGTTCAGAATTGGATAACCCTTAAATCCAATTTGAATTTACATTGTTTCTACATTGTGGGAAATTACTGTAACATAAAGGAGACCCTTTATTATTTATTCGTTAAGCGTATTGATTTTAACAACCGTATTAGAAACTGATTGACTGTAAAAGGACGAAATATAATAAAGGCTTTCTAAGAGCTGCGTGATTTACCCTGTAAATTTCACAGGTTGTCCTGAAAAGTGGTATGGGGTGGCTGCTCCTTGAAGGTATACTCTCCTAGCTTCCTGCCGGGTCTCATGTGGTGCATTAGGCAGCATCACCCTATAAGATGAAATTGCACTTGATTCTCCTGATGCTCCACTCTCCTCTAACGGGCCAAAAATGTCTTTGATTCGTTGTAGAAAGAAGACATTCCCAGAAATCTAATACATATTTGAGTCGACGACAACAAAGCAAATTGCTGCATCCTTCCACGGGTCCCTTGAAGTGTGAAACTTGAAGGAAGAGTGGTTCCTTTGAAGGCAGGTAGAAGGCGTTGCGAGGCTGAGAGGTGCTGCAAAGGGCATGTCCAAACAGACTTTGGGCCCTGAGTGATGGGACGCGGGAAAAGGTAACAGGACACTACAGCCTCGCTCTAATGTCAACACCGTCATGTGAATCACAGCTGTGAGCGCGTCTGAAGATCCACAAAAGCATAGAAGGCAACTTTCAGCAAGATTTATGCGAAACCTCCTTGGAATCAGCAGCCTTTGTGTCCATCACTGTATTTATTAGCAGTGGTACATTTTTTAAAAACTTTGAAATAGGTTGAACTTGTCTGTAGGAGATCTTCATCTCTCATCAAGGCTTTTTCAAGGGAATCCAGCTGAGATGCAGTTCATCACTTCAGTTTAAATGGCTTGAGGAAACACTTCCTCTCTCACAAGCTTTGATTTCATTAAATTAGACAAAACCCTTCATGTTTGTTAGTAATTAAGAAACCATAACAGGTAAAAATAATTATATGTAAAGACGTCAGTCTTAAAGGCCTCAGTTATAAAGAACAAAGAAAAACGGTGCCAAAAATATTAAATTAGGTGGTTTAGATTTGACACGCTTCCACTTTATTTTATTGACATTGATATTCCCAGTTTATATTAATAAAAAAAACAATGTAAACTACTTTCTCAGCAGATCTCTTATTTTACTGACAATTTTCAAATCATCATGACTTATCTTCCTGCATGAAAGTGTTAGCCTACTTTGAGTGGTATAGAAAATGGATGTATGGATTAAAGATTTGCAGGCAACACCCTGAAGTGCTGACATCTCTTTGCATTTACATTGTGTTCAAGATAGAGGGCAGCAAAAAGCTAAGAGTGACATTTCATCCTTTCCCGACAAATATTTATTTTTTCCAATGAACTGAGTTCCTTATGAGTTATCATATTTCTTTCAGTAAATATGAAAAATGAATGCAAACAATGGTCGAAACTCCAGACGGTATAATTTGATTTGATCTGTTTATTTGTGTGGTATGAAGACTGTTTAATTGAAAAGGAGATTTCATAACATATAATGGGGCTATTGATTTTTCACTTTGCCTTGCAAATGATAATCTAAAAATCTAAACCAGGAACCAATTCTGAAATCACATTTTATGCCATATTGCACATTTAAACACAGAATAAATAGGTTTTGAAGAGTTTCATTTCATGTAAAAAAGTAGTTCCTCTGAAATCCACTCACAAGTATGAATTATTCAAAATGTTACAACATAAAAGTGTGGCATTAGAAGGAGTACGATCAAAAATGTTAGAATATCAAAACAAAATGCTCTTAACCTATTTACAAACGTATTTATGAGCTTTATACATTTTTGTCTCATTGTACAATTTAAGTCTCTGATAAAGTCCTTAGAAATCTATCTAAAACTAACCTATTTGGTGTTTTTGTCATCATAACACTAATACATCATAATTTCCTTGGGAGCGTCTTCTGTTGGTCTCTCCTGTTGTCGTTTGTGTTCGTAGGCTACATGCTGATACATGTAGATTAAGGCCACGGCACCCAGAGAAAACACAATGTAAGGAATGACCAGGTAATATCCAACTCTCATCTCTGCAGACTGTTCCCCCAGATCTACTGGCAATGCTCCAACAAAGATGGTAACCAGGTCTTTGGCCATGTTGGTCACGTTGACGTACACCACAAATATGATAAGGGCCACCAGAGACAGGCATGCTGCAGACAAACAGTAACATTAGTCCTGCTCTATATGAAAGAGTTAAACATGGAACCGGCATGAGCTAACATTAGTATCCCTTACCACTAAGAGAGCTGCAGGTGTAGACTCCAACAGGACCCATGTAGGTCTCATAAGGGTTACTGACGCTGTTGTAGAGGGAGACGAGGATGCTGACGGCAGAGAACAGCAAAGACAGAGCCAACAGGCACACCACCAAAACATGGAGGGCTAAGGGTGTAGTCCCAGTGTTTTTAATTGTAGAAATCACTGCACGCAAACAGACACACAAGCATGAGTTATATGTTTATATATGTCACCTCTTCCGTGTATTGTGTAGGCTATGGGTAGGTGGAAGAGCAACACCTTTAGAAGATACGTTTTTTTTCCCATTCAAGTCCTGTGCGATATAAGTGTATACTCGTATGTATGTGTGGCAGCCGTGGCTCAGCTAGGGGAGTTATTGTCTTCCAGTTTGAGTGTCGAGAACAGGAAGCGATGAAGTCTACATTGCTCCTGATATTTAAAGATATTTATCTTTTTTGGGGGGCTATTTGGCTCCCCCTGCAGTTGTGGAATGTAATCCAAGTCTCATAAGACATCTTGACTGCCAGGAAAAGGCAAACCTGTTTTAATTTTGAAAAAACCACAGAGAGTCCAACAGAAGTCATCAACTAAACCAAGCAACATGGCTGAGTGTGTGCCTACACTCTCAGCCAAGGGAAAAAGTAAACAAATAAACAAATTGTCAATTATTTGAATCCTTTGAATATACAAATATATATATGTATATATATATGTGTGTGTGTGTGTGTGTGTGTGTGTGTGTGTGTGTGTGTGTGTGTGTGTATGTGTGTATGTATAGACATGGGAAAATACCATCAATTTTCTATCTGTATCCATATGAAGAGTTGATATTACCTTTAAATTCATCTTCAGTTCCAAAACTGGGACAGGATGATCGGATTATTATTCCATCAAAAAGCCCAAGGAAGATCTCTGCACTTCCGTTGAATGAGCTACTTTCTGCCATCGCACATCTGATATTAATCCTAGCCCACTGTGTTGACATGGCAAACCCCAGCAAACCTACAGACACAGCAGTGACCAGTGCACTAGAAAGAAAATGGATGATTTTGGTGGTGGATGGCATCTTTGCTGTACTCCAACTCCTGGTTGAGTCTAAATCCAAAAGATTCTTCTCTAAAGCACTAGTGTAGTCTGAGAGGCAGATGAAATAAACCTTGTGATCCTAATACAGGTTACCTCTTTTGGGTGGAGTGAACTCCTGCTGGTCATAAAATGTCTTGTTTATAACCGTGACCTTTGGTTCGGCAGTGGAAAAGAGAGATGGTTGTCATAATAGAGACCGCATTTCTCCTAAACATAAAGACTTCGACTCATCTGCTGTCAGACTGCAAACAAAAATGATTTTGTCTCAGTGTGGATCTGTCTTCTGTTGACTAGTAAAACTGATATTCCTCAGTTTGACTTTAAAGGAGCATCCAGGTAAAATGTTAATGTGTCCATCAGGTGAACTTTGAGGGAAATACAGGATGTTCACAGTCTCAGGTTCAAAGTCCTCTTTTTCATATTGTGGGCCATAAACGTTAAGGCAGATTAACGATAAATGATATCATGTTAGTGGAAAAAAGGAAGGAAGGATGGTTTAATCATCTAATCACAAGAATGTGACACCCTGCAGCCATGACAGAGGCTGGCGTCATTTCAGAGAGGACTTGTGGACAGATAAGCCTCGAGATGATTCTATAAATAATCAGGATCTTCACGGAGAAAACTAACCTACGTGTATTATTTTGCATGTGGAATGATATTGTGCCTGGTTGGTTCCAATGATTAACGGCTCAAAATTTGGCTGCTTTATGAGACAGAAAGCAGCAGTGTGCTGTTTACCCACCATCAACAGGGCTGTAAAACACCAGGAGCACCTCATTCCCGTCCATGACAGATAAGAAGAGAAGAGACAGGGAGAAATGAAAAAGGTTTGTTTGCTTTGGCTCACCTTTTTTCCCTGACGTATCTGATCATTTAGTTACTGCTAGTTATAACTGAATCATAAAACCCCTCATACTTTAATCAAAAGACAAAAGTTTCCATCAAAAGCCTAATAGATAAATACATTTTGAAATGGATACATTTCTATTGCATTAGACGTCATGAATAAAACGAATATAGAAAGATCATTTAGAAGATTTAAGTTTAACACATGAGGTTCCTATCAAATACAGTGCTCCTATTAAACTGTTAATGGCTGTGAATTGTGTTGCCTTGGATTCGACATGTTGGCGCTGTAATAGCGTTTCACACCGCAGCGGGGCTCCCTCTCATCGAACGGACAGCTGTAGTGCGTTTTTTGACAGCCAGCTCGGCTGTGTTGGAGTAACCTCAAACTCCTCCTTCTTGGTGACAGGCGGCAACACTGGAGCATCGGTTCGTCTTTTCCAAAACAATCTGCGCTCAGGACTCAATACTTAAGCCACCAATGTGAGTATCCTTCCTTTGATTATTCAAAAGGGGGGGTTGTTTTTGTCATCTATGTATTTATTTAGTTCGCGGGGGAGACGTCAAAATCCCAATGCCGTATCCCAGCGTTACCTGTCCGTTACGCACAGCGGCGCATGGCTGATTTTTTCTCACGAACCAACCATTTGAGGCGCGCACGCTGCTTTAATCTGTCATTGCATGCATCCGTCGTTAAAGTGGCATCTCACCGTGTCATTTCTCTTTGGAACGGCGCTTTCAGACAACCTGCAGGGACTTCAGTCAACCCGGTGCGTCAAAGTGGGTTAATGGATCAAGCGTTCGGAGTTCCGTTCTGTTCCCCTGCCTAGGTCTCTTTTTATCCTTTCTCTTTCGTGCTTCCCTCATTACGTAGTATGTTCTTTCTTATCTAAATTCTTCTTTGCGTGGTATGCAGTTGAACCAGTTTCAACATGTCGGTCAAACGCAGCTTTATTGAGGTCCGAAATATCAGGATGGATCCGCAAAGGTTTCAGGGAGGTCTGTATCCTTTTCAGCATTTGGTGGATATATGTTGGGTTGGGGATTTTCTTTTTTTTCCCTCTCTTTTTTCTCTTCGCTCAATATGTAATAATCACTGACATGACATTAAGGCTTGATCTTGATCTACCAGGGGGGGTCAGAGGTCAGGATCAGCACAAGATCAGCATCCTGGCTGCAGATTGCCTGAAGCAGATTTTCTTTTGAAGCGAACAGATTTTTTCTTTTTAAGATGGAACCGAAAGGCTACATTTACAGACACAGTTTTGATTTCCCTATTTCAATCATTAGATGGACTCCTGAACAGTTTTCCATATAGAAACTAACTCCCGCATGCTTTTGCTGTCAGATGGTTTGCTTGGTCCTCGTTCAGCCGTTCTAGGATTAAAGCCTGTGTTTTGAGCTTTGCAATGAGACAGAGTTAAATGACTTTTAATGAATATGTTCATCAAACTGACAGGCCCAATTAGTGGAGCCTGAGCAAGGCTGCTTCAATAACGAGTGAAGGGAACGTATTTAAAAAGTAAATAAATGAGTGAGATTAACTGGCATTATTTTGTGAAATAAGAAATCATTATGAGAAAGGACTCATGAAGCCAGCGAGACCTGAATGTTCTCAGTCAGGAAAAATGTCAAACTTGCAAATTTGAGGAAAGTTGAGCTGGGCTTTTATCGATTTTATGGATTTCGATTTGTTCCTTTTTTGTAGTCACATTTACGGGATAAACCAGTGAAATGATCCTGTTTTATTTAATCAAGTGGGTTCAGTTTCATTTCGGTGAAACACGCCCGGAAACCTGCCCAATTTCCTTTGTCTTTTTCTTCTTCTCTTTCTTTACAGGCTTTATTATTTCATTGTGAATTTTGTTTCAACTTCAGTTATGGCGCATAAACCTCTGAAAGAGTAGCTATGGTCTCAGCTAATGAACAAGACGTATTCGTCTAGATAAATGAAGCAATGTGAGGTTAAAGGAAGGCTGCTGAGAGGATCAATCTCTCACACGTCAGAAACGAGAATGTGGGTTGCTTGTATTGCTTAATTATTTTTTTTTCACTCTTAATAAAATGCTACTGGTTTTTATTTGTAGGAGATATTTTTACCTTACATTGAAGAGCAGTCTAACACATTCAAGATGCTCTTCTCCAGTTTGATTTGTTCTTTTTTTTTTAAAGCTGCAAACTGTAAAATGGTACATTGAAAAAGCTTGTGCAAGCATGCTGATTAAGTGTGGGTGTACCGTGCAGAAGGCCCATGCTGTTTGTGGTGATTAATGGAATCCACAGTGAGGTGGGGAGGAATGAGTACCTGGAGCCTCCAACAGCTTGCTGGATTTAAAACCCAATTTTGACAGCCTTTTAGTTTATTTTACAGCTTTGCCACCCTCCGTCTATCCACCACAAGTCCTGGAAACACTTAGATTCAAAGTTCGACTACACACTGAGCAGCGCTTTCTGTGCAGTCTGCTTGAAGGTTCTCAAGCAAACACTTTTTTCAAACGGTTGAAAAGAAAAAACAGATTTGTGTAGAGTTGCAAAAATTGGAGATGAGCTAAGGCTGTTTGCCAGCAGAAAGAGTTTCGTCACATGTTAAAAACAGGCTCAAGAATTACACATCGGAGGCTTTATAAGATGATCTTAATTTTTTATGCAAACAGCATTTTTATCCTATCTGTTTTTTCCATTTTTTGCATGCCTTTGTGAATGCTTTCTCTAACACGCTGAACTGCAGTATGTCGCAACAGGAGACTTGTTTGTGCTTGTTGCTAACGCTGCAGCATGCAAACCCTGCAGAATGTCTCCAGATTTTAGCATAATGTTTATTATTAAAAGAAGACTTTGTAAGGAATGTACAATGGAGAAAAAGACACAACCTTTACGTAACACGGAACTTACTCTAACAATCTTAACACAAGTGGGGAGGGGCTTGTTTGGGGCCGCGTACAAATTGTGTTAAATGGGATTTATTTTTGTATTTACAGAAGGAATGAAAACATGAACGGTTTAAGCGAAACCCAGAAACAGGTTACTGTGGTGTGGTACTTTTTTCCAGAAAGCCCTCAGGCCTCACGGTGACACGAGACCGTGATAACACAGAACTGGTGCATCACCAGATGAGCCCACATTAAACACACGGCTGTATCAGAAACCGTGTACAGCTGTGCAAACTGCGACAGCACCTGCACAGTTTGTGTATCTCGCATGCATCCATCCTCGTCCTGTGATCTGTTACCCCCCTGGGCCTGTACTGAAAGTCAAGCGAGAGGCTTCCTCTAATAGTTCCTTTTTGATCGATTAGCTTCATATAAAGTGCAGCAAATACCACCTTTGGCGTTTTGAAGATTTCGTACACACTCCTGCTACAACTTCTACAACTCTCGCTTTTCAAGGTTTTCTGAGGTTTGATTTTGCAAACATGTTGAAGACCTTGTGGAATTATTATGTCTTGTTTTTTGTCTGTTTGTTCAGACAATCCCAGAATAACCGTATGACGCTGAAATCAGACTTCCATTTGCTTGATGCCATCTGTTGCAGGATTATTTGTCCTTCTTGTATATATCTCTTTGAGACTTTGAGACAGGTTATTGGAACTGAAAAATCTGAGTGTGGAAATCTGTTGCCCTCTGCACAAAAACTGAGGCTGTACAGATGTGTGTGCTGTCCTAATTGTGTTTAAGACCTGGTTTGGTGAACGATGCAGTGCTCTTTCAGGACTCGCACACCATCTGTTTAAAGAAGGCAAGGCATCTCTGGGATATTAGCATGGCCAAGGAAATGAAATGTGAAAAGGACTATGTTAAATGAGCACCGTACTTTAATATATAGTACCCTCCATCCTCCATCTACCTCAGGAGGAGTTGCTTGGAGCTATTTCACACCAGTTTGGGCATCTGGTCAAGACGCCTCCTTTACACCTTACATGAGAGGTGTTTTGAGGTGGCTAGTGCTTCTGCATCCCCTTAGAAGAGCTGGGACTAAGTCCCAGATAACTGTGAAAAGACTGATGCAAGCCAAAATCAATAAAAAAATGTATTTAATTAGTTTAGATTCTAGACCAGTTGCTGTTCTCCACCATTTTTTTGGAAGTGACAGGAAAATATACGTGATTAATATGCTGCATCATGGATTATAACCTCAGAGTGGACCTGCGTGGAAGCCTTTCAGACCGAGTTTTATGTGGCGATGTGAATGGTGCAAAAGGGTCCAAAGTTTGCCTCACATTTGACTGTTTAAAGCAGCAGAAATCGAGTCCTTCTCCTCAAGATTGAAACCCAAAGCCTAGCCTGTGTGCTGTGAATAGATATTGCCCGGGGACTTTCTGAATGATGTCACTCCACAAGTTGTGATATGGGCGTACCGGCTCGAGGCAACACATTTTTTTCTGGTTTATATTTGTCAGTTACAATGTGAACACATTTCGAGGAACGAAAGAAAACCATGA